TGCATGTATGATGAGGGTACCCTGGAAAAAAAAAAACACCTGGTTTGAAATAGAGAACAAACAAAAAAAAAAAAAATCCATAAACATTTACACCAAGTATAAAATTATAAAATTCGGACACTACGGATTCAACCACCATCATCATATCATCATTAACAAATACAACAACAAGAAAAAAAAATTTCAATCACGATGATGACGATATTAATGATAAGTGACGCCCTGCTTCTTCCTATGCTGCTGCTGGAACAAATTTGAAATGAATGAAAATCAAAAAACAATGTTCCAGTAGCACAATCCTGTAAGCGAGGGAGAGTGGGGGGAGATAAATGATGATGATGATGATGATGATGATGAGAGGAAAAAAAACTTCCAGGTTTTTGAATTATAATGTGTATGTGTGTGTGTATCGGTGTGTATTGGTATTATTTTTTTTGCATCAAATGTATGTATTTAGAAAGAAGAAATTTGATTGCATTTTATTTCGTTGTTGTTGTTGTTGTTGGTTGGTTGGTTGTTATTGTTGAATCATCGAATTGAATAGTGGCCATCGGTTTTAAGTAAGCAAGCAAGCAAGCTTTGTTGAATTCACATCAAACACACAGCTTATTAATCGAGCTTGAAAAGATGAAAAACCGGCGACGGCTACGACGACGACGATGGTTGAGCAAGTTTTAAGATTTTTTCTTCTTCAGTTCATATGAACGAGTTATTGCGAATTCTTGAATTTTTCTCATCTTGTTTGAATGAAATTTGAAACCTAAAATCAAAAAAAAAAAAAATGAAATAAGGATATGACTCATCATTATCATTGTTACCTTTCTGTTTTTGTCTGTTTTGTTTTCTTCTTCTTATGTGATTGCATCTTTTAAGAATTTTATTCGTTCATTTTTTGTAATTCATCCAGTTGTGCGAAACATCTGAATAAAACATCTGAATAAAGCCAAAATTTGAGACATTTTTGTCAAAATGGATACCAATGATTACCACTATCGTTATCATGATGAAGATGATGATGACGATGATGATGATGAAATGAGTATTGTTAACATATTTAAATATATGATTATTTGTACAATATCATTATTGATTATTGGTTTAATTACATTATTCATAAGACATTTATTTCTTATACAAAATTCAATTGATCAAACATTTTTACTTTGTTCATATTCAATAACATTCATTATAATATTGATAAAATTATTGGCTATATTTAAAGAACATTTTTTCTTTCTTATTATAACAGCAATTTTAAATATATTATTAGCCATTTTATCAATGACAATTCAATCATATCGTTGGTCAATTATTTTGTTACAAATTATTTCATCATTATTTACATTTTCATATTTATTATCAATGTATTTAAAAATGAAACTTGATATTTTACATAAACGTCGTTTACAACAACGTTTAGAAGAATTACAAACATCAAATATGATGAAACGTCGTTTTCTTGTTACATCAACAACATTAGATGAAAATGTTGATGATCATATCTATCAAATAGCACCATCAATAAAACCACCACCAGAATTTAATCCAATTGAATTAACAAATGAATGGATTATCAATCATAATCATAATCATCAAAATAATAATTCAATGTTATTACAACAAAATCCTGAAAATGAACAAAATGAATTTGATTCGAAACGAATTATATCAACACCAACAACAAATTCTATATGATTCGATTTACGCATGTGCATTCTGTGTTTGCTGCATGCTTGCTTGTTGATTAAATCAGCTGATCTATTTGAAGATTTCATTCTTTTCAGAATTTTTTTTTGTAATTCTTGAATATTTTTTCTTCTTTTTTTTGGAAAAATGTTTCTTATTCGTTATAATCGATTTATAGTTTATTCATCATCGTTTAGATTATCATTGTATAGAAAATCACATAAATCATTGTTCATATCATCATCATCAAGATTCTTTTCATCATCATCATCAAACATTAATGATAATGATCCGAAACCGAAATCGAAAATTCAATTATCTAAAATTATCGATAAAAAATCCACAAATGTACAGATAACAAAACAATCAGAGCCAGGTATTTTACAAGGTCAAATTGAACAACCAATTACCGGTAAACAAGTTTCATCATTATTATCTCGATTAAAAAATTTATCGGAAAAAAATACAATTCTCGCGATGATTCTATGGCGACCAATGTAAGTTCATATGATGGATTTGATTTGGATTTTTTTTTCTCTCTTTAACTTTTATTTCACCTTATTCAGTTCAATAGTCGAATATATTGAATCATCAAGAGAGGAAAAAGTCAATTCATTGGTTTATGATTCTGTTTATCATCTACTTTTTATATTTTTAATAATAATCATACATATTGTTTTTTTATTATTTATGATTGAAGAACATAAAATAACCGATCGAAACTATATATTAATTATGTCTGATTGTAAGTTATATAATTGTTTTGAATAAAAATCAAAATTTTTATTTTATTTTGTGTTTTACCTAGCTGTCAATGAACTTTATGAACGACTTTTACTAAACGATCTAACTGTTGAACATGATGGTCAATTTTTACCATCATCACATAAATCAATTCAATTATGTGATAGAATTTTAAAGAAATTAATCGAAACAAATAAAGAATATATTGATGATGAACAAATTGATCAAACATGGTCAACAATAATTATTGATGATAATGAAAATTTAAATTCATATACGATTCGTTCGCAAAAATTTTTGATTTTAACAAAAAAACTTGTCGATCTTTGTGAAAATGATGAACATCAACTTGCCTATTTGATTGCTCATTCATTATCGCATGCAATTTTGAAACATTATCGTGAACCGGTAAGTTGAATGTTATGATATGTTAAGATAAATTCTTTAATCATTTATAAATTAATAGCTAACTAATCTTCGACCAACACAAATATGGAATGGTCTTTGTTTTCTTTATTCATGTCGATTAATGTGGTTTTTTGAACCAAATGAATTTCTAAAAGAAAAATTGGACGTGTTAAAAATTTTATTTGCATATGATGAATGGGCACGTGATATTTTCTATCGAAAATATCGAAAAATGTTATCAAAAATCAATTATTCCGAAACAATTGAAGAAGAAACTGATCGTATTGCAATGCAATTATTATCACGTTCATGTTTTGATGTTCGTCGAGTGAATAGATTTATTGATAAATGTCATCAATATCAACAACAAACGGAATCAAAACAAAAATCAACTGCAACCACCGAATCATCGGATAATAATCGTTTAGCGTTACATTATCTATATGCACATGGTCATAGTAATGGATCAAAATGGAAACGTTTTAATGATGAAAAATTAATGAAAAAATTTATTGAATTTCGTAATGAATGTGATTGTGATCCACTTGAATAATGATGAATAAATAAATAAAAAAATTGTTAGATGTTGTTACTAATAGATTCGGAAGAAAACCGATTGACCTAAATTTTTTGTTTTGTATTTGTCGAATTTTCTAGAGATGATAACCATCGTTCACCGAAAAAAAATCATCGGAAATATTTTGGCAACGAATCGGATAATTTTCATTCAGTGTTAATGTTTTTTCGTCTTCAAATGAACAAAAAAGACAAAAAACAACAACTTTATCTGGTAATTACGAATACCACGGGTGAAACGCTTCAATGAATTTGAAATTGAACTTTTTCTTTTCTTTTCATTTGTGAAAGACAATACAGCACGAAAAAAAAATCCATTAACCTCGACCATTGGTCCAAAAAAATCTACAACTATTTTTTAGCCATTTGGTCCATTTTTTCGAAAAAATGATTTGATTCACATTGATCCACAGACTGTTTAATTACATAATAGATTTTGCTAGTGAATAAATTTCACTTTGAACTTCAAAAACATTATTTTCATTTAACACAACGAATCTGTGTTTAAGATTTCTTTCGGATAAATGACACAAAAATAAGAAAGAAATGAGTAAAAAATTTCCCGATCTACTAAAATAATCGAAACGGAAATTGAAATTTTCAGAAAAATAAGAAATCATTCAACAGGTAATTGAAAAGAAATTGTAAAATATTGGAGACTGTACCGGCATGAAAGAAATTGATTGATATTTTATCATTGATTGAATCGTTCCGATTTTTTTTATATTGTCAAAGATCAATATCCGAAATCAATCGAAAGAATTGACATAACAATTCATTCATTCATTCATTCATGTGATTTGATCATTTTCATTTCTTTTTTTTCTGAAATAAATAAAACCATATTGAACATTGAACCGGTTTCTCTTTCACCTGTAAACATTTAAAAAAAATGAAATAATTAATTTACATGTGCTATTTTTTTCGAAATTTATTTGTATATGTTACTTTCAATGTTTTTTCATTTTCTTTTCTGATTTGAAAGAATTTTAAAGTAAAAAAAAAGGAAAATTACAAAAATTAAATCGTTTGCGAAAAAAAATTTGGTTTAAAAAAATGAAATATATTCGTCGATAAACAACACTTTGATTCCATGGTTGATAGTTTCATTTGTTTGTGCTTGTTTTTTTGTTCGGTAAATGTTTTTGGGTTTTTGGGTTTTTTTCCATTTGCAAAACTCATTCAAAAATTGAATTCAAAAATCAAAAATAGTAAAATCTAAGTGAAAATGATGATGATGATGATAAAATTTTATCGTTCACAATATCAACCGATAATATTTATTATATTAATAATATGGTCATCGATTATGATTATGATAATTGATACAAAAATTGCTTATATAATTAAAATTGGTGGTAAAAAAGGTGCCGGTAATGATGTGTAAGTAGATTTATTTATTTTCTTAAATCGTTATTATTTTATTATCAATTTATTTTGGACAACAAAAAAATAGTTTTGTATTTGGTGGTAAAAATTGTAACACACCAAACATTATATTGAAAGGTCATAAAAAAAGAGGTAAACGTGGTAAAATGTAAGTGTGTTTTTCAGTTTCGTATGCTATGATAATTGAAAATTTTTGTCTTTTTAAATTTTTCAAATCCAAAATAGAATTATTGTTGAAGATGAATGTAAATCATCATTACCTGCATATGGTTATTATCAAAAAGTTGTACATCCATATTATGGTCTTAATAATAATGGCTATGTTTAATCTCAAAAAATGTTCTCCTTCAACCGATTAAAAAGTGTGTGAAAACACACCACAACCATGATCACTGAGCATATGTTTGTTTGGTCAATTAATGATAATTACTTTTTTCGGGGGGAAAAAGTGATTGTTTTCACCATTTTCATACACACCTGTCATAAACCTGTAAGTATTTGTCATTATGTTATCGTTTTTTTCTTCTACCAAATACATACAAATTGAAATAGTGTCTGGTTGTGCAATATAGATCATGTTTTTTTTCAATTCTTTCTTTGATAAAATAGGAAAATTATCTATTCATTTTGGCTTTCCTGAAGATTTGGGCAACAAAACAACTACAACAACAACAAACAACAAAAATTCAATTTTGTTTTGGGTTTCATTTTGATTTTGTTTTTTCATTATTTAATGTTTATTTTGGTCTTTATTTTTCAATATTATTTCACTTGTATTATTATTCATTTCATCATTGAAATTTAAAGTAAATATTTTTGTTTTTTTTAATTAAAAAAATCGATTATCAATTTAGTATTTCATAACAAAATCGTTGCTCATGATAGTCAGGAAAACCAAAAAAATCCAGACTTTTTTTCATTAAGATTCTGTTATTTGTTGTTATTATCAAATACGAAAAAATTTGTAAACATTCATTGAGTTGATTAAAATTTTAATCAAATTGATTCATCATGAATATTTATGAATCAAGAAAAAAATAAAATAAATGAAACAAAATTCAATGAAATTTGATGTCAAAAGATAATCAATATTTCATTCATTATTGAGAAAAAAAAATCATTTGTTAAATTTTTAACTTTATTTTTTTTGTTATTGTGGCTTTTTCTATGTCAATAAAATGATAATAAAGACATTATAGGAATTTCCAAAGAAATACAAACATTTTGTTTCAAATTCAATCATTTTTTTTCCAAAAAGTTATTTCATTTCTATTGTAGCTTTATTTTTGTTCAGTTGTCCAAAATGGATCCAAATAAAAAAATAAACATAATACAACGATATTTGAAACAATACAATATTGAACAAATATTCGATCAAGGATTTAAATATTGGAAATATTTTTGTATACGTTTTGATTATTCATTATCAGATTATCGTAATCGACGTATATTGATATTAAATCAATCAATACGAAATGCTTTATTTATTTCAACAATTGGATGGTGTATAATTATATCATTAACATATGCATCGATTAAACAAGAAAATCCATTGTTTGTTAGTATTAAATCATTTGAAAAAATGTTAAGTTCACAACGAAATGATCTACTTGTACTTGAATTGGTTTTTATATTTATAATAATTGAAATAACATGGCTATTTTTATTCAATGATGTTTTTGAATATCATTGTTCAGTAAGCGATTTTTTTGCATATCGAAGATGGACAATATTTGAAACAAATCAATTGGATAAACATGGAAGAAAACATCTTATTTGTTTCTATATTATTACTAATTTAATATCATCATCAATTCATTGTATCGCTAAAATTGGATTATTTAGTGTCGATATTATGTTTACAATCTGTTCATTAATATTTTATTCACATGATCACATTACATTGATTCAATTAATAAATACTGTACCTGGAATTATAATATTATCATTATATATTGATTTTATGATAGGTTTATTATGTCATTCGATAAATTTTGTAATTTTTATTATAGAATTTTTCAAAATATGGCTTAATAAATTATTTTCATTATTCAATCAAATGAATAAAAGAATAAAAAGACGAAAAGAATTAATGAAAAGAATGTATTGGAATCAATTTCATAATCAATATATAAAATTATTTGCCGAAATTGGATATTTCAATCATACTGTAAGCACATTATTATTATGTATTGAATTTATATCAAAATCAGCTATTATGATGAGCTGTATATATTATAGCCGTCAAGAAAAAATGGGTGTTCATAATACTACATGCATTATTTGTTTTTTATCCGCATTCTTTTATGCAACTAGTCTTTATGTTATTATTTCTGGATTACATTCAGCAAATTATTCATATACAATATCAATTTTAAATTGGCTTGCACGATCACAACATAATCGTTATGAATTAAATTCAAATATATGGAATTGTAATGTTTGGAGTTATATGATGATCAAATCAAATCTATTTACACAGACAATGATGAACAATCGTTTAGGTTTTTATTGTGGTCAATCATTTTTTGTAACACGATATAAATGTTTACAATTATTTCTATTAAATTTTTCCGTTATAATAATGTTTTATAAAAAAATTATACTTAATTATTATAAAAATTAGAATAAAATGTAATCAATAACAATTCATACAACATTCACAATAATAATTTTAAAATTCTCATAAATTTATTAATAATCGAATGTCATAAGTCAAAAAAAAAAATTCAACAGAATTTATTGTCATTCAAAAATTCTGAATAATTTTGATAATAATACATTATCGATATTGTCAAAGTATAATTATTCTCATTAATTTCATTACAAATAAAAGTAATCTTGAAATATGTTTCTCATTTTTTTTATTGTAATGATCAATTTATTGTTGACAGCAAAAAAAAAATGAACCAAAAATTCATCATTATAATTTGCAATCAAATAATTGTTTCCTTAGCAACATTACTCAGAATTGTTAATTGAGAATGATTTTGTGTTTACTGTAAATTTTAAATGTTATTGATTGATCATTAATATGCAATAAAATCGAAATTATAGCGAAAAAATCAATATCGATTTGATTATGATGAACTTTTTTATACGAATGTCGCCTATACATGCGAAGTAAATGAATCTAATAATGAAGCTTATGCGATACAATAATATTGACGATCGATCCGAATTTGTGAAACAAATTAGTTAATTACCCAAATTAGTTTCATAGATACAATGAATAGATTCATTTTATTCAAATTTGTTTACTGAGTTGAACACTTTGTAAATGATGGATATATCAATCATACCAGGATCGCTGAAAAATATTCGTATTGCGAAAATATTTCAACGTGCTTTTATTTATTTGCAATTATTTACATTTCGATTACAATTTTCTCTTGAAGATTACCAGAATAGAAAAATTCCGCGGACATGGAAGACATTTCGATGGTCATTCTTGATCACATTGAACGCATTGTCAGCAATATTCTGTACTGGATTATTGGCTTTATGTCCAAAGACTCATCCATTTATGAAATATCATAATATTGAAAAAATACTGAAAACTGAGCGTATGGATCTATTTCTATTGGCATTATTCATAATGTTAATCATACTGGAAGCAATGTTTTTACATTTATCAAGTGAAGCATTAAATTATCGTTCATCTTTTGTAAAATTCATTATAAATAATCGTAATTATGATGAAAATGAACATTCAATAAAATATCTTCGATTATTGAAAAAATTCTATACCATTGTATATTTAACGGGAACGATTGGTTATGGATTATATGTTATCAATTGTATAGCTACAATTGGTTTCGGATATTATTGGGCCATTATATTCTATGAAAGAAACCTTACAACTATGGATGAATTAATTGTGAGTTTTCCAGCATATTTTGCAATTTGCACGGATATAGCTTATCGTCTTGGACAAATGTTTACGACCGTTTTATCATTTATCATATTTGTTATTGAATTATTTCAAGTGAAATTAGAAGAATTATTTAAACTTGCACAAAGAATGTTTAGTCGTCGATGGAACAGAAGTGGATTGAAAAAAATATTCTGGAATCAATTTCAAGTTAAATACGTAAAACTTTATGCTGAAACTGCTGATTTTAATAGATCATTTGGTAAGATGCTTCTCTATATTGAAATGGTATCAAAATCATCCATCATAATATCATGCATGTTTTACAGTGAACAAAAAGAGATAAGTCAATACTGTATTACGGCAATTCTATCATTAATGTCTGCTTTTGTTTGCGTAACAAGTCTTTATTCACGTGTAGCACGATTACCATCATATAATCGTCGTTGTTGTAAATCTATAATCAAATGGTTAGCACGAACACAATGGTCATCATCAGAAACAAAATTTGAAAATTTTATTGCAAGACAAAGAATTAAAATTATAAACCGAACACCGATCAAATCGAATCTGTTCGTTCAAACTATTAGTGAAAATCAATTTGGTTTTGGATGTGGACATCTTTTTTTTATAACAAAATTCAAATATATTGAATTGCTTATGATGAATATGCCATTGATTATTATGTTTTATAAAAAAATATGCATGAATGCATCTTTCTGAAATGTAATCAAACTAGATGATAGATTTAAAGTATAAACATATCAAATTGAAATATTAACCATTTTTTTCAACCCGAGAAAATGATTTTCTGTACCTTGATCCTGTTCATTTCATAAAAATTCATTCATTTAATTACACATCCATTTAGATAAATCACTCAAAACTAACCTACCAATTCAAATATAAACCAACTAGAATTTCATATGTTTCATAGAAAAATTAAACATTTATTAAATATTTCCATCCAATGGTTTCAATATTGGATAAATTTTTTCATCATTAACTTTGAATTCTTCTAACAATGTTGTAAAAAAAATCAATTTTTTTCCGATCACAATATTATTATTGATATAATTTAAAAAAAACAATTAAAATTTATTGAATATTGATTGTTTGAAGGTCGAAAACAATTCTTAGTTTAAAAAAATAAAAAATTTGACTTTGATAAACAATATATGATTGAAATTGTCTTAGCATAATTATCTTCATTCATTTTATTTCGAATCAAAATTCATCTAATGAATTATCATTTCTCATGTATTGATCCATTTATTGTTGACAACAATAAAAAAAAACATTAGATCCATTGTCATTTTTTATTTGTTTTATTTCAAATAATTGTTGCCATATTAACCATAATTTAAATTATAAAAAAAAATAGTAATTTAGTTGCTCAATTAGACTGTTTTTGTGCTTTTTTTTCCAAAAAAAAAAAAATTCAACTACAAAGTTAATGATTGATCATTGAAATGCAATAAAAACAAAATCCAAATTGTAGCAAAAAAAATCGATATTGATTTGATAAATGAATCATTTTTAAGGGTTCCAGTCATTTCAGTTCATCATAACGGATGTAGCTTATCTTTTTTTTGTTGGACAAATGTTTATGACTGTTTTATTATTCATCGTATTTTTTTTTCATTGAATTATTTCAAAATTTATGAATTTTTATGTTCTATGAGAAAAAATAAGCAGGAATGCATGCTTACATGTAATTAAAAAACAATAATCAAAATAATATAGATACCCCTTCCATTTATGATAATTGGTATTTTTCCATCTCTTTTTTTTCCATACCCCAATATAATTATAGAATAGAAGTTTTCCTTTGAAGAAAATGCAATCATTTTCATTCATTTCATTTCAAATAATGATCATTTTCATAATTTATTGCACCATTAACATTATTGATCAATTTATTGTTGACAAAAATTTACTGAAACCCTACAACAATCTTATTTGAAGTTCTTATTTAACATTCACAGACCCAAATTGCTATTGATGATTGATCGGAATTCAATAAACAAGTTTTGTTTTAAATTTCTTTTTTTGTTTTTCATTTCTTAAATTTGTTTGCACAAATGCTAATTTAGCAGTGTGCTTAAATAAAAGCTTATTATTATTAAGTTTTGTTTTAAAATCATTTCACAATGGAAATATAAATCGATTTCACCTATGCAATGATTAGATTCCTTACATTTAGAATCGTTTATTTATTTGAACAGGTTACGAATAATGGTCATACTAAAATCATTGAAAAATATTAGTTTCGTAGAAATATTTCAACGTAATCTTATTTATTTGCAGATCTTCACGTTTCGATTAAAATTTTCTCTTGAAGATTATCAAAATAAAAATATACCATGGACATGGAAAACATTTCAATATACATTCTTTATTACATCAAATTCATTGGCAGCAATATTCTGTCTCGGATTAATGTCTTTATTTCCAGAGTCTCATCCATTTATGGATCATCATCATATTGAAGCAATATTGAAAACCAATCGTATGGATCTATTTCTAGTGGCATTATTCATCATGATTATTCTATTGGAAGTAATGTTTTTACATTTATCAAATGAGATTCTAAATTATCGTTCATCATTTGTAAAATTCATCATTAATTATCACAATTATGATGAAAATGAACTTCCAACAAAATCAATTCATTTTTTAAGAAAGTATTATACCATTATTTATTCAATTGGAACGATTGGCTATGGATTATATATTCTCAACAGTATTGCTACAGTAACTTTTGCATTTTATTGGATTATTATTTTTTATAAAGAAAATCTTATAACATTAAGGGAATTAATTTTGACTTTGCTATCATTTTTGGTGATTAATAATGAACTAGCTTATCATGTTGGACAATTGCTTTTGACCGTTTTATCATTCATAGGTTTTGTCATTGAATTGTTTCAAGTGAAATTGGAACAATTATTCAAACTTGCACAGAAAGTTTTTCGTCGTCATTGGAATGGAAAAAGATGGAAAAAAATATTTTGGAATCGATTCCAATTTGAATATGTAAAACTTTATGCAATGATCGCTGATTTTAATAAATCATTTGGCACGATGCTTCTGTATGTTGAAACGATATCCAAATCATCCATTATAATAGCAGTCATGTTTTACAGTGAACAAGAAGAGATAAGTCAATATTGTGTAATGGCAATTGTATCATTACTTTCAATTTTTTTTTACATAACGACACTTTATTCACGTGTAGCACGATTACCATCAAATAATCGTCGCTGTTGTAAATCTATAATGAGTTGGTTGGCACGAACACAATGGTCATTACCAGAAACAAAATTTTATAAATCATTTAAAGGACGAAAAATTAAAGTTATAAATCGTACGACAATCAAATCGAATCTTTTCGTACAAATTATGAGAGAAAATAAACTTGGTTTTACATGTGGTCATCTATTTTTCATTACAAAATTCAAATATATTCAATTATTATTATTAAATTTTACTTTGATTATTAAATTTTATAAAAAAATTATACATGCATCACAAATTAAACATAATCAAGGTTAATTCAATTATCATGAATGATTAAGAAAAGAATTGAAATAAAATTATTCTGATTGATTGTATCTGTTATTCATATTTATTTATTTTTTTTAAATATTTAAATCCATAGTTATAGCATTCAATCAAATTATATGAAAGATTAAAAAGCCTATCGAACATGTATCAGTAAAATCAGTATCTAATAAGTTTTCGATCAATAACTTTAAAATTTGATTTTTTTTCACAATGAAATAATAAGGAATTCGTTTTTACACATAAATATAATATGATCAAATCCATTACATTAAACAATTGATTTTGATAAAATGTTATTGATAATGTCACAAAATAATTATTTCTTTTTATTTCATAACTTATTTCTAATCAACTATTGATCAATTTATTGTTGACAAAAAAATTAACCGAAACCCTACTCCAATCTTGATTGACTTGTTTATTCAACATTGAGAACCAAATTGCTATTGATGATCGATCGAAATTCATTAAACAAAGTTTCGTTTTCGAATCATTTCACTATGGAAAAATAAATCGATTTTATCTTTACCATTGTTAGGATTCATTTCATTCAAATTCGTTTATTCAATAGAACAGGTTATGAATCATGACCATATCGATCATACCAAAATCATTGAAAAATATTAGTTTCGTAGAAATATTTCAACGTAATCTTATTTATTTGCAGATCTTTACGTTTCGATTAAAATTTTCTCTTGAAGATTATCAAAATAAAAATATACCATTAACATGGAAAACATTTCGAATTACATTTATGCTTACATCAATGACATTGACAGCTATATTTTGCCTTGGATTGTTGACTTTATTTCCTAAAAATCATCCATTCATGAGTTTTCATAATATTGAAACAATATTAAAAACTGATCGTATGGATTTATTTACAATGGCATTATTTATCATGGTTATTACATTGGAAGCAATGTTTTTTCATTTATCAAGCGAAGTTTTAAATTATCGTTCTTCATTAGTAAAATTCATTATTAAAAATAACAATTATGATGAAAATGAACTTCCAGAAAAATCAATTCAATTTTTAAGTAAATTTTATACCATCACATATCTATCAGGAATGATTGCATATCGATTATATATTATTAATGGCATAGCTACAATTGCTATTGGATATTATTGGGCTATCATATTCTATGAAGAAAATATTATAACATTAAAAGAATCGGTTTTAAGTATGTTAGCATTTGGTTTAATTATTACTGATATAGCTTATCTTGTTGGACAAATGTTTACGACTATTTTATTATTCATTGTATTTGTCATCGAGTTATTTCAAGTAAAATTGGAAGAATTATATAAATTTGTACGAAAAATGTTTGATCATTACTGGACTTATAATAGAATGAAAACAATATTTTGGGATCGATTTCAAGCTAAATACGTAAAACTTTATGCTGAAATTGTTGATTTTAATAATTCTTTTGATGTTATGCTTTTCTACATAGAAACAGTATCAAAATCGTCTATCATAATATCATGCATGTTTTACAGTAAACAAAAAGAAATAAGTCAATATTGTATAATGGTAATTTTATCATTAATGTCAACTTTTATTTGTGTAACTATTCTTTATTCACGTGTTGCACGATTACCATCATATAATCGTCGTTGTTGTAAATC